TTCATGATGAGGGGGGTTTCACTGGGTTCGCTGCCATCCCGTCGGGAGGTTGTCTCTATCGATGCATCTACCACAAGATGGGGGGCGTTGTGACAGCGACAGATCGCTCGGGGGACATGGTCTCCATGGGAAAAGCTGCAACACATCAACGCTCTGGAGCTGGAGGCTGTGCAGCCCGCATTGTGGCACTTCTTTCGATCCTGCGGGGAAGGAATGTTCTGGTGCGGGCAATGCGTCGTCTGGTGAGACGACGCATTGCCCACTTTGGTTCTCCCTGGCAGAAGGTGCCTGTCCCCTAGGTCAGGAAGCGCTGTCGCACGGCTGGCCGAGGGCACTGCTCTATGCATTCCAACCGCTTTCACTGACGGACCCTCAGGAGTGGCATCAACTCCTTCTTGTGGCCCCCCGGTGGCCAGGGAGGAATTGGTTTCCACTGCTACAGGTTCTGTTGCAGCTCTCCAATGCCTCATCCCAGCAGGAAGGACCTTCTGTCACAGCTGAGAGGTCAGATCCTGCATCCCAATCCCAGTCACCTCCAACTTTGGGTTTGGCCACTACAGGGCCCGGGGTTTCCTTCTCAGAGTATGGCGGGGACATCAGACACACTCTGAAAGTTTATATTGCTGCCATCTCTTACTGGCATTAGGTGGTGAGTGGGGAGACAGTGGGTCGTAACAAGGACGTTTCCTTGTTTTTGAGAGGTGCCCGACATATGCACCCTCCCACACGCCCTGTTGTGCCTGTGTGGGACCTCTCTCTTGTCCTGCCCTGCGCTCTCTTCCTTTTGAACCATTGGCAGAGGCGAGCCTTGAGTGTGTGTCAAAGAAGACAGCCTTTCTTCTCGCCATGGCCTCAGGAAAACAGGTGGGTGAACTACATGCCTTGTCTGTTCACGAGTCCTGCTGCCGTTGGAACCCGGCTGGTTCGGGTGTTACTCTATGGCCTGATGCGGCGTTTCTTCCTAAGGTGGCTTCATCCGCGAGCCACACTGTGCCCCTCCAGCTTGCTCATTGTGATATGGATGGGCCTGATGAGCTTCTCTGCCCTGTTCGGGCACTGAAGGCATATGTCAGACTCACAGCTTCTCTACGGCAGTCGGATAATCTGTTTGTTTGCTATGCAGGGCCCCGCAAGGGGCAGGCCCTTTCTAAACAGTGCCTTGCATGTTGGATGCGTGTAAGATGCCATTCCACCAGGGGCATTAGTGTGTCATGGGCCGCTATGACTGGTGTCCCTCTGGAGGCTTTTTGCTCAGCAGCCTCTTGGTCATCCCTGAATACCTTTGCTAGGTTTGCTGGGCTTGTCCCAGATACATTAGTCTGCGAGGCATAAGCCAGACTGTGGCACATTGGCCTAATGTCCAGCTCTATTTAATCTAGTTGGGAACTAATTTATGTTCTTGAATTTTTGAGGCTGTAAATAATTATTTATTTCTTTTTGGTGAACAGCACAACTAAAACAGTTTTTTTAGAACCTGGGGACAAAGAAATAAAGGAAACAAGTTATGGATTTCAGAATATGAACTGTTTACGGTTGTATTAGGTGCTATCTTTTTAGAAACTGTAAGATTGTTTGTTTTTACTGGAGCAAAGAGCTGTTCTGTATAGGTCTGCTTTTATATTTTAGAAAGGATTCGACTCCCTGATTGCCATGATGCAATTGACATCCTAACTGAGCATTGTCATTTTTATGAATAGTTGTGACAAAAGTCTACAAATTACCAACAAAAAAAAATCTTGTTGCATTAATTCAAGTAGAAGAATTGGAAAAAATAGACAAAATATAAGTGTCAATAGTAATTATTTCCTCCTCAAAAGCTCCTTTTCCTTGATTTAATGTCAGGTAGTTTCCCCAACTTCCTCCTGTCAACAGTGTCAGTCTGTCCACATTCCTTCTTCAGAACTATGAGTTGAAGATGGGTGTAACCATCATACTTACCTGTGTAAGAGCTGTCATACTACATTCTCATAAATGGATTCTATGCTCACAGAAGATTTTTATGAGATCGAAACTCACGCAGTCACTGTGACCGAGAGAAAAGATGGAGCAGCTGGACCCAGAAACCTTCTTCTGTTCGATCTGTCTGGAACTACTGAAGGATCCAGTGGCTATTCCCTGTGGACACAGCTACTGTATGAGATGTATTACAGATCACTTTAATGAAGAGGATCAGAAATGAATCCACAGCTGCCCTCAGTGCAGGAAAACCTTTATACCGAGGCCTGATCTGGAGAAAAACACCATGTTAGCAGCTTTAGTGGAGCAGCTGAAGAAGACTGGACTCCAAGCTGCTCCTGCTGATCACTGCTTTGCTAGACCTGAAGATGTGGCCTGTGATTTCTGCACTGGAAGAAAACTGAAAGCCATCAAGTCCTGTTTAGTCTGTCTGGCCTCTTACTGTGAGAAGCATCTTCAGCCTCATAATGATTCAGCTACATTTAAGAAACACAAGCTTGTGAAGCCTTCAAAGAACCTCCAGGAGAACATCTGCTCTGATCATGATGAGGTGATTAAGATATTTTGTCGTACTGATCAGAAGTGTATCTGTTATCTCTGCTGTTTGGATGAACATAAAGGCCACGACACAGTGTCAGCTGCAGTAGAAAGGACTGAGAGGCAGAGAGAGCTGGAGGAGAGACGAGGAAGAATCCAGCAGAGAATCCAGGACAGAGAGAAAGATGTGAAGCTGCTTCAACAGGAGGTGGAGGCCATCAATCACTCTGCTGATAAAACAGCGGAGGACAGTGAGAAGATCTTCACTGAGCTGATCCGTCTCATCCAGAAAAGAAGCTCTGATGTGAAGCAGCAGATCAGATCCCAGCAGGAAACTGAAGTGAGTCGAGTCAAAGAGCTTCAGGAGAAGCTGGAGCAGGAGATCACTGAGCTGAAGAAGAAAGAAGCTGAGCTGAAGCAGCTCTTAAACACAGAGGATCACAACCAGTTTCTCCACAGCTACCCCTCACTGTCAGCACCCAGTGAGTCTACACACTCATCCAGCATCAATATCCGTCCTCTGAGACACTTTGAGGATGTGACAGCAGCTGTGTCAGAGCTCACAGATAAACTGCAGAACATTATGAGAGAAACATGGACAAAAAGCTTTTTGACAATGACTAAAATGGATGGTTTACTACCAGAACCAGAACCACAGAACAGGGCTGAATTCTTAAAATATTCATGTGGAATCAGATTCGATCCAAACACAGCACAGACATGACTGTTACTATCAGACGGGAACAGGAAGGTGTCATGGATGGATGAATGTCAGTCTTATTCTAATCATCCAGACAGATTCACTTATTACTCTCAGGTTCTGAGCAGAGAGAGTCTGACAGGACGCTGTTACTGGGAGGTGAAATGGAGAGGAAAAATTTATGTAGCAGTCGCGTACAAGAATATCAGCAGAGTAGGAAAAAGGAATGAATGTAAATTTGGATGTAATGACAAATCATGGGCATTATCCTGTAACCCCGGTGGTTCTAAGTTTGGTTACAACATCATTTGGACTGATAATTTAGGTCCTTGTTCCTCCAGAATAGGAGTGTACCTGGATCACTCAGCAGGGATTCTGTCCTTCTACGACGTCTCTGAAACCATGACTCTCCTGCACAGAGTCCAGACCACATTCACTCAGCCGCTACATGCTGGAGTTTGGATCGGGTACGATGGAGCCTCTGCAGAGTTCTGTAAACCCTAACAGAGAGAATGCACTAATTTTAATTCTCCAACTGTTTACTTACATCACTGTTGTTTTATGTCTAAACTGCATTAATCAATAATTGGAGATTGTTCTTTTTTTCTTCCTCTTCAAATTGGATTTTCTGGTTGTGTGTGTTAAAGTTTCAACACTGTATTTCAAAAGCTGATTAGCAGAAGAATGCTTTCTCTCTTTTGCATTTTGTTTCATTGGGAGCAAGGAGTGTGAACTCGGAACTTAACCGAGCCAAACCAGTTATTTTACTCTGTTCCTGTTTGAACACATTTTGTGGAGTCCTGACTCACATAGAAAACAAATATTTTTTAACTGTGGAACTGAGAGTATTTTATGCCTTGATTATGTTGATTTTTGGGAGAAAATTTAAAATTAAGCTGTCATACTGCTTCTCTTACTTTTTTGGTGAAAACACACTGACCCCTACAGGAAGGTTGTGTTGATACGTGACATAGGTTGATAATCGCTTCATTGGAGTTAGATATATTTCATTAATATGTTAATAACTATAGATAAAACTAAAAAAATATATAAAGTATTAAATAATGTGCTGTAATAACAAATAGCTTTCTTAAATGCTTTAGTGTTCTTTATAAATTTTGGAATTGAATTCTCACAACAGAATGACATTAAAAGAATCAGAAATATTTTTTTAGAGCTATTTTTCTCTTATTTAGCTTGGAAATTATGTGTTTTATTATTATCCTTCTTGTTACATCAAATAATAGCCTATAGAAGAAAATCCATGCTTCATCTTTATGAATAATTTTGTTGTCCCATAATTCAAATATTAAAAATACAAAAGTTAAAATTAAAAATACAAATATGATCAAATACATATAAATAAGATGGCAAATATTTAGCAACAATAATTGGTGTAGTTTTTTTTTTTTTTAAATCATGTAATATTTGGCGGCTCTAATTGACTTTTTCTTAGCCAGACTCAAGGCCAAATGGCTCTTTGGATATGAAAGGTTGCAGAGCTTTGTTCTAGCACATTGTGAGGTTTGAGAAGACTATACTGAACCACTATCAATCCATAACAATACATATTACAGTAATGTTTTTTCCTCATCATAATTAAAATCAGCTACAGATTTAGTTTTTTTGTTTTTTTTTTTAACACAAACAAGGTGTAGATGTTTCTTCAGGGTCAGGAGAACCAAGAGCTCAGCACTGAATGAGAAAGAATCTGTTGCTGATCTTCCTTCTGGCTGTAGGTGGACAAAATTGTTTAAAATGAATATACATCAAAAATTAAAGTGAAAAAAACAAAACACCAAGCCAGAAAAGTTCACAGATGTTTCCTTTAATCTGCTGTTAGTGGCACACATTAGATTTGGTGTTTGCAGCAGGAAGCAGATACAAGCAGCACAGAGAATCTAAACGTTGAGCTTCAGACTAATGTGTCCTGCGTTAACCTTCAGGAAGAAGGAGCATCTCTACATGTTTGTGCTTTCATCAGTGAGTGGTTCAGAGGTTTGCTTTTGTTCCTTACAGTGAAAAACAGTGAGACTGATGCTTATAAAGCCCCTCAGCTTGTGAAAAGTCTCTGAGGACTTCATTTTATTTTAATCAAACAGACTCCATCCTGTCAGCCATGAGTCACTAAACATCTAAACTAAACTGCTTACATCCGTCTTTAAGACCAACAAGACACCAACGCACGCTGTGGGTGAGATTTCACTGCTAACAATGGAAAGAAGAAGAAGAAAGAGGAGGAGATCATTTCTCCTGCAGCAGAGCCGGGATGTTGATGTTCCAGCCGATGGCCTGCCTGTCGAAGCCACAGGTGAACAGGTTGCAGGTGGAGTTGTCCTCGCACCAGGCGGAGCAGCAAACCATCCGACGATGACCCTAAACAACAACAACCAGTCAGCAGATTTGACCCCACAGCAATCTACAGAGCCTTTCAATCCAAAATTCAACATAGATTTAATATTTTCCTGGATCTCCTGTAATCTCAGCTTTCATGATTGAGCTTGGACCTGCATTTCATTTATGTCCAAATTTCCAGAGACAAGATTCTCAGAATGCCAAGTAGTTGGTCAGTCTTTCAATAATTATTTACAAATAGTTTAGGGAATATGAGAGGGTATTAATAAATTAAGACTTTTTTTTTATTTTCCACATTTATCCAGCATTAGGAAATGATTAAAGTTGTGGGGAAACGGCTGTTCCAACCGTTGCATTTCCGAATTCTCCCAAATGGTGCACGACTTTACAAGAGTGAATAAAGTGAATGTGATTGGTCGTTTATCAAGGGGGCGGGATTGCTGTGGCGGAAGGTTCACAAGCAAGTTTGATTGTAGATGTTGTCTCGGAAGCATCTTGCTAACCAGTTAGCAACTTTGTGCTAGTAGGTTCCCAATGGAATTTCCCATTGGGACCAATTAGCACTAAATTGGTGACTCAGCAACGTCACTGTCAAGGAACTCTATGGACAGCAGAAACATGCAAGAAAAGGAGAGTTTTGTGTCGGAGGTCATGAATGAGTCTCCTCCGTCATCCATTTTTTATTTAGAGGAGGAAAGCGAGAACAAAGATGTTGTGGAAAAAGACGCCAGAGGGGCAGAAGCTTGGTTTGGTGTAGAAGGCTTACAGCCGTACATGTTTGAGCCCTTGCCTCGCAACGCTGCCAGTTCTGTTAGCTTGCCTGCTGAAGACAGACGTCCATCCCAGTGAACACTGGGACTGAACTCAATTGTAAAGTAAATTATTATTATTTCTTATTTCAACTGTTGCGTATATTAGCTTAGACATATGAATCAAGAGTCTATGACCGAAAAAAAAATTGATTGACAGATGACCGTTGATATGCGATTGGCTGAATTTAGGTTTTCAGGCTGACATATAACTAACTGGCTGCATAAGATAACAAAAAACCCCACAGATTTTAAGACAAGATTTTTTTTTTAAACAGAAATTTTCTAAATTTTGGGACAATATCATCTGATAAAGAGTACATTTATTAACATGTGTAAGCCAGAATGATTTGACATTTAAATATGATTTCCCTATGACTTTAAGACTTTTTCAACTGTTTTTACACTCCATCACAATGACGTAGATATTTATTTATAAGCTAAGCAAAAGATTTTATTGAAGGGTTCCCCCACTGTTTCATCTTCTTCATATCTATTATCTGATGAACTGACCATCCAACCACAGTATTATGCTCCTGTTTCCATTTAACTGTTGTAGTGTTTTCATGTCCGTTTTGCTGACCAACCTGTCTGTTGCTCCGTGGGAGTCGAGCCAGTCGCACTCCGGACATATCAAACAGTCGGACCTGCCGATTGTCGTGGGGAAGGGCGATGATTTTCTGGTTCACAGACACGCTGATCCTGATGAGAAACAGGAAGTAGAATGATAAAAAGCAATACATCCCCAGTAATTACAATAAAGGATTCCCGTTAACTGCAGCACTGGTGTGGAGAGCAAGTTTAAAGGAGCTGTTGATGTTTATAACAATTATTATTCAAGGCTCATGTGAAAACTAAAGGGTGGATCCTTTTGCCCTGCTAAGCATAGTGCCTCCTGGTTCTGTGCTGCAGAGTATCAGCATGTTTGCAGCTCACCCACCTGTTGACAGCAGAGTCTGTGCGGATGGTTGCTATGGGCGACCTCATGTTCTTCAGGTCCCACACTTTGACGGTGCGGTCATCGCTGCCTGACACCACGTTATCTCCCACGGTGAAGACGGCAGACGTCACAGTGCTGCAGAGGACCAGGAAACAGGTTTGGTCAAACAGCTGGAGAAACAGCAACATTTTTAATGATTAAATATGCAGGATGGCATCTACAGAAGTTTTTAGATTCCTTTTGAAACCAGTTAATCTTACTATGAATAATGATGAATAATAATAAACAATTAGGTCAGTAAAACAATGATTTGGTTTCTTCCAGTGGGAATGGGTTTTTTTTGTTCTTTTTTCTCTGATTTTACTCCCACAAAACTTTTTTTTTTTTTTATCTAAAAGAAGGAATTAATTCAACTACAAGAAAAATGTAAAAATTTAGCTCACAGGATGGCGCTAGACACCTAAACATTTTACTTTTTACACAGGCTGATAACTGGAGTATGATATGAAGAACTGTCAAAAAACTAAGCTAGGTAAAGTTAGATTAGATTTTTTTTAAAAGGAAGCAACATCCATCTGGCCTTGCAAAAGTATTTACACCCTTTAAACCTGTTTGAAATTCTTTCATTTTGGAATCACAAACTTCACTACATCCTATTTGGATTTTATGTGATTCCCACAGAGCAGTGCCTTAATTTGTCACTAAGGAAAATTTAATTTTGATAAATTTTTTGTTTATCAATAAAAACAAAAACAGGTTTATGATTATAAATAATACAACATCATAAAAAAAAGAGAGAAACAGGGCTATTCCAACAAGGTTTATTCATCTACAGGCTGAAACTCTTTCCTGTTCTTTATTAGACAGCTCAGGATCCATCAGACTGGATGGAAAATGTCTGGGAAGGTTTGAACTTTATTGTTTTAGAACTGAACCGTTCAAACATTTGAACTATTATTATTGGCCATTTGGTTAGTCGATTATGCTTTGCTGAATCTTATTCCTCAAACAGATTTTCTTTCAGAGCCACCCTGGATTTATCTCCATCCGTTTCTTATGTCTGGCGTTTCCCAGAAAAGCAACTTTAAATTGATTTTGCCTTCAACATTTGCTTTCTACTGACCATTCTTCCATAAAGGCATAAAGGTCAAGTAAACAGCAGCAGTAATACTAGTAATTAGGAACTACCTGTGAGGAATGTGTTGAACTGGATTTAATACCTGGGTATCAGGGTAAAGGGGGATTGTTGCAAATGCAAGCTCCACTTTTTAAAGCAGAGAAAAAAACTATTTTTAATTATTGACCTCTTTCTATCGATCTGTCACATAAAAAAACAGGAAATACATTAAAGCTTATGATTGAAATATAAAATATTTAATCTAGAGTAATCATTGTAAAATTATTTCTTTTTTCCCCCCTCTGATATGTGATAGGTTTGTGTCAGACTAACTCTGTGTGTCCCTGGAAGACATTGACAGAGTGGATGGACGGGTCTCTGAAGTCCCACAGCCTAAAGGTGGTGTCCCTGGATGAGGTCACCACCAGGCGCTGGTTGGGGTGGGTGCAGCAGTGGGTCAGCTCCTGATCATGACCTAAACAAACACATTTATTTCAAAGCTTTAAACTAAACCCGACTGTAAGCTGAAACGTTTTCTGCTTCCTACCAGTGAGCGAGTGGACCAACTCTGAGGTTTCCACATCATAGAGGTTAGCAGCTCGGTCCCAGGAGGCCGTCACCACCTGTTTGCCTCCCACTAGCCAATCAGCAGCGATCACCACCCCCTGATGGCTGCGGAGCGTCGTGGTTGGTACGCGAACCGATGGGCAGTCGTTGGGTCCCTCAACCTCACCGTCTGCGTCGTCTTTATCTGAGAAGTCCACATCGTCTTCACAGGGCGTCTGCTGCAGTGGCAGGAAGGACAGGTGAGTGAATTCTGCTCTAGAAGCAGCAGGAAGCGCTCTGATACACAAACACAGATCAGGCTTACAGCGGTATCAGCAACAGGTTGGGGAGTAGGGAGCTGCACCATGTATCTCCAGATGTGCGCCGTCTGATCTCCGGAGGCTGCAGGGCAGAGACTGAGACTTTAATAACCGTTAAGTTCATAAAAAAACTAAAAAATATTAAAGTAAACAACAAAATCTTCATGATACCAACATCTTTCAGCGTTTGTGTGACAGACTGTCCAGATTTAGGATTCAGATTTACAATTTGAATATAAAACGCTTTTACATGCGGCAATCTTTCGTGCATCAAGACTCATTCCAGTCTGAAGACACCGGCAGCAGATGCAGTAAATTTATGAGCAGGCAGCCATTGTATCTGCAGCTAAATCTAAGCTAAATATAAATAAGAAATACATCCTCTCTGCTTCAGACAGTGCAGTTTTGAATAAATAAGAGTTTAACAAATCCGGGTAAAATGAAAACATGTATAATGATTACTGAGCCATGGCACCAATATACATCAATAGTTAGGGATAAATTCTCCAGTCAAGACTTTGTCATCAGTTCGAGGAATAAGCACAGTAATAAAGCTATACCTGTTAGAGCCATCTGCTCAGTGGGGTGGAACTTAATGGAGTTAACTGCAGAAAAACAAAGATGCATTGTGTCAGATTAGACCAAACATTTAAGATAGCTCATGTACTGTTTCTATACAGTCCAATACAGTTTAATATGGCTAGAACAACAAAAACCATGAACCAAACTTTCTAACTTCAGGTCTATTGAATCCTACCTGATCCTTGGTGGCCCAGGTATTTGAGGAGGCACTTTCCGGTCTCAATGCTCCACAGCATCGCTGTGTGGTCTGTTTAAATGAATAAAAGAAAATCAGAATGGAATGGATTTAAAGAGAAAACACAAAGCATTTTTTCAAACTTACTGAGTGAAACTATAGATCCAGACTAGTTAGTAAGGATATTAAACATCCTAACACTTAATCACACAGTAAAACATTTAAAGATTTTCTGGGAAATTCTTTAATAATAGTTATTATACTTTTGTATATAGTTTGCTTAAGAGGATGAAATGTTCTCTTCTTTAATGATGTTCCATTAATTCACACCAAAAAGAAGAATGCTTGAGTCTTTCGCTCCGTTTAATCCCTGTAGGTGATCCAGAGTCCTTTGCAATATAATCCCTCTTCTCTTCTGCTCTCTAAATAGGTTTTCTATACGCAGTAGGTCTAGGGACTGAGATGACCATGAAATAAAGATCTGGTAAACCTTTTCTATGATTATTTTTACAGAATAATCCCACTGAAAAGAGTAAAATGAAAAAACATATATGTTTTCTGGAAGAATGCGCCTGATTTAGAACTAAAATAACAAGGCTACAGGGTTTTAAAGGCTTTAGAAGGAGAAAAAGGCCCACAGAATCCCAGATCCTCCACCATGCTGACCATTGTATACGATGTACTTTTCCATCAATACCTCCTTTGTTTCACACTAAGCTCACCTTGATTGCTTGTAGTTGACAGTTTAATCTTTATCTCATATGAGTAAATAATACAGTTGAAGTTGATGCACCAGTTAGAAAACATAAAAGTCTGTGCAGGGGAAAGAAGGTCTGAAAAGGTTTTTTCCTGTCCTGAGCAAAGGAAGAATACAGGAATGTTATAGAAACCTGATGAAGAAGCAATGCCCCTTATTGCGAGTTTTTTCACCTCCCTAAAGATATACAGCCTAGAAGCCAGTGGCTGGCTGAAATAGGTATCTGTGTCGACTCATTTAGTGTTATATTAAACTGGGCAATAAAATAAGTTCACTGAAAAGCTTTATTTCAAATAAATTTGTTATTGTAGCTATTTTCTTTCAAACTAAAGTTTTAATTACGCTACCAGAATAAAATCTTAATGTTGAGATTTCATACAAGTCTTTAAAATAAGTGACAGAATATCAATCAAGGTTCTTATTTTGGTCATAAAGGAATATAAAAACAGCAGACTAGGCTTAAATATTGAATTTCTGCTGAATAAAAGCAGAAATGGGTGATAAAATAAACCCCAAACCAAATGAATAACTCAGGACGTACCAGCAGAGGCGGTACCCAGGACCACAGGCTGGGTCCTGGTGATGCTGAGGTCCCAGATGCCGTCCCTGTGGCCAACATACTCCTTGACCAGCTGGCAAACTGCTCTGGTTGTGGTCGCTTTGAAACTGGACACAATCTGACAGTGATGCCACACAGATGTTAGAAAAGAACAGAGAAAATCCAACAACAGGGTTCCTGAACACAGCCTCCTAAAATGGAATCAGCTGCTTTTCATTTTGTTTTGTCATGTTGGGAGCATAGAAAACATTTTCATCTTTCACTTTAATTACCATCTCTTTATTTAAATGATTGATTTTAAAAGCTGTAAAATACAGTTTGATTTAATCTTAATTTGAATAATCTTCCAAAACCCTGCCTGCAGCTGACAGGGGCTCCGTTTCAACTAGAAGTCCTTCTCCTTTCTTCCAACTTTCCTCAGTGAAACGTGCTGACTATCCCACCTAAACAGACGTTCTAACCATGTGGGGGCCCAGGCAGCGATGGCTTTTCATGCCCTGTATTTACAGGAAAAGGAGGTACAAAGACTCTGTGTACTAACTCCTAAACCCAGTTGTTCATTTAGGGACCATCAACCAATTCCAGTTGTTCAAAATACATAAACAGAGAGCTTCTCAAAAGTCAGCACACCAGATTATAACATTAAATTTTATTAATATCACATTTTAAATTAAAATTCCTATGGAAAATTGTCATGTGTTTATATATATAGGTTTCCAGTTTATGTAATCAAAATACTATGAGATCAATGCTGAATTGTGTTACTGTACAGCTATAATGAGACCAAACATTTTATATAATATTCAGATGTACGTCAATAGGAAGTGAACTAAAGAAACACAATGTGTTATATTATTAAATATACAGCAGTCACTAATAATCATTCAGCGGTATTTATTTGCTCTAAAACAATTACTCATCTAAAGTCTCAGGGTTTGCCTAAGGTCAATTTACAAACTCAATAATTTATCCCCCCAATTGAACCAACATATTTCCATAGATTTCAAATATTAACAATACTATCTTAGTTGAGGGAAACAGCACTGTAATGATCATGGTGGTGGTAATGTTATAGTCTCTATGACAGCACACTGGATGAACGGCCCTCGTTGCCTGGAGCGAACATCTGCTGATTTAAGTCCAACTTTAACCTACTGTAATTTCACTGAAGGACAAAAACTGGACATTTGGAGTAGACATGTTTCCCCGTCCTGCGAGCTGCAGCAGGGACCTTCTTTCTCTGTCTTTAACTGATCCCATTTAAGTTTTTCCAGAGCTGTGCAGGAATCTTGTTGTAAGGGAGGAAGCAGGAACTGGGGGTTGCTGAGGAGATGCTCTGCAGGGTCCTTGTAAGAGGCCAGGGCTAAGAAGCTTTGTTTCCATATTTACCATTAGCTTTTAAGGATAATTAACTAAAGTCAAAAAAAGTAGCTTTAAATTCTCCAAACCTGATGCAGAAAACAAAAACCGTCTGCTTATAGCAAAATAAATATCAAATTAACATAAATGGGTTCCATTATTCTGTATCAGTAGATCAAAGCAAATTCAATCCAAAACAGCAAAAATAAAAGTATCTAAAGAGGGTGGAAGCTGGTGAAATAAGAAACCTGTTATCATTAATGGATCAGTTGACTCAAGGTTCGATTGCGGTGTTTACATTAAAGATGGGAATGATACAAACAGGAGTCCGGCTGCGTTTTGGACACAGACTGCTAAATAAGTTCAGACTGAAAGGAAAGAGGAGAAAAAAAACATCATTCATCTAAAAAAAGAAAAAAATGTATTCTTCCTGTATAACAGAGACAGGGTGGGAAAATATTTCTCTCCTCTGTACTCAAATAAAGAAATCCAGCGGATGGATAAGCTGCTGTTACCGGAGGAGACTGTTAGGGAGAAGACTCCAAGAGCAGCAAACCGAGGGAATATAATGAGGCATAAATGCAAAATGAATAAATTCATCTGTAGATGACGGTAATGAGCGAGATTTAATTCCAACTGAATACTGATGCAGGAGAATGCCGTTTAAAAAGCAGCAGCAGGGACTGAGGGAGTTTATGGCTTCAGCACTGCAGAGTAAAGCTTTAAAGCACGCAGCTGTTAATGTGCTACAGTTTAGAGCATTAATGTGTGCAGTCTGCTATGGCCAAAGATGGATTTAACTTATTTCTGATATGGCCATGATTAGACTATCAATCCAGATTACATCACAGCATAAAACAGACAAGCAGCACAGTTAGCAGAAAGCCCAAAACAGAACTTCATGTCTGTCTGTCTACATTTAATACAAGGCTTAAAAATTTCATTTTTGAAAAAGCTCATAGTTAGTAGGCCTCAGGTTATCCTGAGCTATCTCTATACTTATGCTGCTTTAGGCTTTGACTGCTGGATGACATAGAGACCCATTTTCATCACTCTCTTTTCTACCATTCTGCAGTAATTGTTATTTCAACCTCTAACTTTATGCTCTCTGCTTTTTTTATTATAATAGTAGCTTCATCTGGTCTATCCTGAATTGAAATGTCAGCTGGGCTCCTCCAACACCTTTCTTTATAGATGTTGAAAAGTAGTCCTATTACTCTTATTGTGACTAACTGTATGTTGGGGCAGACTCCCAGGCAGCTAGCTTTAGCAAACGACACCCTAAACAGTTTGTGTCCAGGATGTGTGGGGTCTGAGAGACATTAGCTGATCTTTTCCTGCCACCTAGGGCTGTAAAAATCCAGGGTGGAGGATAGATTGCTCTGATCAACCTTTCCAAAGACCTGATTGTTTGTTGCAAACAGGCCCTACCTGTTCTGTATTCTAGTAAATGTGACCTGACCAAGCAGACTGCACACTGCGCTTTGAGTGATTATCTGAATGCTCCTTTTGCTTAAATTTCCTACTTTGGGAATGAAAAGCATTTAAAAATAACAGCCGCTCCACACTAAAGATGTCTCCACAGTGTACCATTATGTGAATGCCAACAAGAAGCTAAATTAAAGTCAGGGAGTTGCAACTGAAAAAACAAGCCAGTTAGTGAGATAAGAGACGGTCAGGTTTTATCTCACGCCGAAGGGATAAAAGAAAAGCTCAAACTCCTACATTTGAATGACCAAGTCTCGAGGGGAGGAAATGTCGTCCCCCTGGCTGGGCTGTTCATGCATATTGGCACACAAGGGGGAGAAATGTGTAAGTTACCCATGAGTCTCCGCCCCACAACTCCCAACTGGGTACGTTGAAGTTGCGGGATCCGCCTACTACTCTGGCATGGCAAGAATTTGAACGCGGCTATGAGTAAAAAAAAGGTGAAAAAGACAGTAGTTCCACTGTTTAACATTCACACATCATTCATGTTTTACTGATGAGCACACAGGCGTCTTCTACTCATCTCTCTATGATAGTCAATTAATTATTTCCTTTCTTCCAAAAGACAATCAAAAACATGAAAAAGACGTTTTAAACCAAATTTAAATCATTTTCACCAGCGACAGCAAAATTGATACCTTGCTTGTAGAGGCCTTGTAGGTTGTTTTCAGCTTCTGAGACAGCTGACTGGTGCTGTGACTTGCTGTACATTAGAAACAGTTAAAGGTAATGATGAAGCAGTCGGAAGAGAGCAGAAACAGGTCAACAAATTTAAACTTAAAATATTACGGTTTAAAACAGATGTTTATGTAACCAGTATAAAACACACATAAGCTCTTTTCTCAAAGCCTGATTTCTGCCTCTTTAACTACTGGAAATGTGTCCCTAGATCACATATTCCATTCAACATGTTGCATTAGACCCTCCTACATAAATAACCCACATTTAATAAACCTAGTGAAAAGACACTTCCATCTTAGTTTGAACCGACCGTTCGTACAGTGCTTATTTAACAGGATGAGGACTCATCAGGTCCAGCTTTTTTACCAGACTTTTCCCTTTTGCTCTAAAGCTGACAAGCACATTTGAACTAAATCAAAATTGCATAAACCCACTTTATAATGGTTAATAGACAGTATCTCATTGTCCCAGCTTTTACCTAAAAGGACTAGCAGTGGGAAAAGAAAGATTATATTTCCTTTCATAAACTGACATAAACATCTGCTTTCAACTTTTCATTAAAAAAAATGATTCACCTTTTGTTTTAAGAGCTCCTTTAGCTAAATCTGCTCCTTCCACTGTCTGTCCGTCTGCAGCCAAACGATCATTCAGGGACTCGATTTCTCTGCGCACTGAAAATCAAACATGTCTTGTTACAGCATGCTTCAGTTTGACAACAGCAGAGGATTGTGCTACGTTCAGACCGCCAGCGCTCGAAGCAGCTTCCTTTTTTATGCCTGTACACATTAAGGTCCAACGCGCCTCAAGTGCATTTTTGACTCTCCTGAAGCACGTCCAGTAAAATGTGTCCAGACGCGTCTGACGCTTCTGCTGCTGCTATGTTTAATGGCAGAGAGCGGCTTTGCTATATTTGCTGTGATCAGTGGGTAAAAAGTAGTTTAAATGTGTTTTTAAGTGAGAAAAAAATTCATCTGTGCAGTCAGTTCATCAAGCTTACGATCCTGCCTTCAAGCTGTCGGACCAGCACAAACCCCCATACACCCGCGATCCTGTCACTGGAAATCTCCTTCAATGGCAGCCTCTGGCCCGGTCGCCTCTTCGGGGTTTTCTGCTAATTTTCGCACATGGAAGGCAGAATAATCAAAGCAAAAATATTTTTCCGGCAGGTTTCAAATTTTTTAATTAATTTAGGCGTTAATAAACTGTTTCAGTGGAGTGATCACATCGCTCTGCATCAGCAGCGCTGTGTCTGTCTCCCTGCCAGCTCCCAGATCAGCTTCTCTGATTGGTCGATGTGGCGCATCAAGCAGCAAAAGTTAAATTTTTCCAACTCCAGCAGCTGCTGCTTGTGAAGCACGTCACGCGGCTCAGATGCTCAGAAGCTCATGAGGCGCTGCTTCAGCTGCTCAGATGCGTCATGATGCATCAACATGCGCTGCTCCTGCTGCAAGCTGCTTCTGAAGCGTGCGGTCTGAATGTAGCATTATATGCTGGAAAGTGTTCATATTGGTATCAGAAGTGAAGAGAAGGAAGAGAGGAGCTGCTTTCTGGAAATCTGACAAAACCTTTAAGAAGTTTAGGGAGAAGATTATAAGGGCAGATATAAGCAGCAAACACAGGGTCCATCCAAATTTATCAAATAAGTAAAGACTCTTGAGTCAAATTAGAAGTGTTTCAGCAGTCGCCATAATAAGTTCTGTCTGAATAGTGCTGGCAGTGAGGAAGGAGGTAGGAGAAGGCAGGATGCTTCTACTGGACAGTTCGTTGAGCAGAGAGACCTCCGATTGTTCCTATCTGGTGCTTAGGATCTATATGGATTCCCACAATCCTTTGAGTGACGGGGCCGATATGCACAGCCCACCAAACAGAGTTTAACAAAAAAACATTGTTTTTTTTCATTTCTACTCTGTGTAAAACATGCATTCATATCATTTGGGTTTTATTATACAGAGCTTTAGCTGCTTGGAATTTATTTAACTTTTCTTTTTTGTAGCTCTTCTCCAGAAAGCTGTAGTGCTAATATGACTCTCATCATCCGTGTGCATAATGATGACTGGAAGGGAAAATAAATAAAAAACCTTCAAACTTGAACGCTGATTAGTTTGTGGCTGAAACATTATGGGTGTTTAAAATTTATTTTTTATATTTTCATCAGAATTTGACTTTTTGGGTGTTGCCTCGAAACTTTAAGAGCCAAAAAAATGGCTAAAATTTTGAAGCAATAAAAAATAAAATTTATGAAGAATATTGAGGCAGGTTATGGTTTTGTGGAAAACTTACATTCAATGTTTTCCAAGTAGAGGTTTTCAAACTCTCTCTCGATCTGACTGAACAGGTCCAACAGATTGGTCCTCAGTGAGAGAGGCAGTTTGGTGTCCTGCAAGATGAAGAAGAAGAGCAAATGTAAATGAGTGGTTTTATCACTTGAGAGATCGATGAAGAAGGTATGATATACAGAGAGTTTCAACATCAATCATTTAAGAGAGAAGTAGACCCCGAAAAGCTAGTTAAAATGGCACCAGAGAGCAGTTTGCTTCGAAATTTCATACATGTCAAAGAAATCTGCAAAGAATGAAACAAACACATTTAGGCTGTCATGTTCAGCAGAGAGAAAATGGATCCAAGAGGAAATAATGTAAAAGCAAAAGAAAGCCTCTTATCCCTGTAGGAAGGAAGGAAATAAAAGCGAGGCCTAACTCCAGTACATTTACAGCACAGACAGGATGTGTTCCCACAGATCCAACAATCAAGCTTAGACTTGTTAATATTATACAACCAATATGAGCTCATGATACCAAAATGATTTATATCTGATATAAAGTAACTCACTGGCAGTTTCTACCACTATCCAATTACATATATATATTTAACCTCTTTTTTGTATTTACTATAAAAGATTGATTTCTTTTAAATCTGGAATGCTAATTCCAACATTATCCGCAGGCTGAGGTTCAGAGTCAACAGTAATACTAAAGGTCAGCTTCCGTAGATATGGTTGGGAGGCAGTGAGTACACCTCTTTGTTTCAGAAGGAGAAGCAGAACTGATGTTCACTGGAACGCTTTTAAAAGAAATCCAGTCAATCTGCCGACTGTGGCCAGACTGACACTGATAGCACTGAGCAGAAATGAAAGGATAGGAACCAATAGAGGAATAAGAATCTGAGACAAGAAGAGTGAGAAATATTGCACAGTGGAAAGAAATGTTGAGTCTTTGTTTTCTCTATTCATTAAATTAGATTAACAAACCGTGATCATCTTGAAAACAGGCAATCAAATCCCTATGTAAAATTTACATAATTAGGACTGGACAATAATGATTATTGATCAAAAAGGAAAGACAAAAAAAGAAGGATTATTGATTGATATTGATATCATTGAAAACATTTTTAAAAAAGAAGATGAAAACATTTTTATTATGTTTGTATAAAACCACTAATGTCAAAATGATAAAAAAGCTTATAAAAAACCGTTATTTAGCACAACACATTTAAATCAGATATTTGTATGAAACTATGAAAGAAAACTCATTTTCAAAAAGAAATTGAAATTACATACAGCATTATGCAATCCATATTGCTACTGGTATGTCATAATTATCAGAACTCCATGTTGAGTTCAGTGGCTGCCTCTGTTGTGTTACAAAAGGCATTTAATTTAGGATGTCTGAATGTTTTCTTCAAGCATTTTCTCCTCTCCTATTCTGCAGACCGAACACAATATTAGCTTCATTTGTCATTCCAGAATCGTTCACCTGGTGTCACTGTGTGTGCATCAGGTCATGTTAGTTCCTTAATGATATTGGTGACTGACCGGGTGTGTATTTTGCTTCATAAACACCTCCAATCCCCCACCCAAAACAACACCTAAAAAATAACAGACGGATATTTATTGTGGGATAGCTAAAGGCAAACAGAGTATCTTGAGAAAAAGTCACCGAAAAAAAAAATAATTTGAAGTTTCTCGTACATTCTGTCATTCTGCTGTTTTTCCCTCTTCTGTTTAACATAAATCTGTTGATTTAAATTTTTGAACAAATCAAAATAACATCCTAACTCTACAGACTTCACAGAACTGGAAAAGAAGGTGCATCAAATACAAAAAAATCATCAGACTGATTTTTTCAGATCCACAACACCACCTACTCTGAGCTCTAACACAACCTACGTCCGCTCTGAAAGCTATGAGGGGTTCTGTTCTACTGTCTGAAACATGGAAGCAGCTAAAACTTACCTCCATTCTCATGAAGGAGTCCAGATTATCAGAGGACTGAAACCAAAGGGACCAGAGTGAAAAAATAAGGTCATGAGGAAAGGATTAAAACATGTCTGACCAGAAACAGAGCTGAAAACCTGTATGTTCTCTGACATTAGGATCAACTTTTTTACTTTTCCAATAAAAAATGCTTTTCTGGCCCATAAGAAAATCACATTAAGAATGAAATATATTTTATGTATTTAAATTTTTTAAAAAATTGTATGCATCTATTACTTATCAAGAGCCACAAACAAATTAGGTCAAAAAAAGAACTAAAAAAAAAAACCTGAAAGACTTGTATAGCCTAGCTAAAATCCTGGTATCTCAATAAGTTTAGCTTTTATTAAAAACAAGAAAAAACTAAACTAAAAGAACAACAAAAACAGTGTCTCATTCCCTCAGACCAAAATATTAAAGGACACTCATCCTGATTGTTGTTCTGATAATATCTCTTGGGTTCCGGTCCAAGGCAGCATTTATTAGTTAGTTGATGTAGAAAAGTAACACATGAAAAATGTACTGAAACTGTTAAATAGACAGTGGGAGATTTTCTATGGGAAATTTAGGGCAATGATCTAAAAATAAACCAAATAAAGTCCAAAATCCAGATGAATTTCAGCTTATCTCTGTACTCAGCTTTACTTGAGAATACATCGTATGAGGTGGCATTAATCTAACCACTGCTGCAAATTCAACTTGAAAAAGATCAGCTACAGCAGTAAAAAAAAAATGTTTGCTACTTTTGATCTTAACAAATATGATTTACTCAGAAATATTGCAAAATATTCAGAATGACAAAAAGAATTGTTAAAAAATGTAACTAATTTCTCAATGAAGTTTATGTCACTCCAAATGTAGATTTTATTGTTGCAGCGACCAATCAGCCAATATTCCCCTGGTTGGCTCAGGTCAAATATTTCACTTCATAACATGCATGCATTTCTTTTTAATCCTTCCTGTTGTACAGACTGTTACAATATAATAAAACACAATGTTCATTAAAGCTATTTGAGTAAAGCTAACTAAAAAACTAATTAAGATCATAGAAATACATTTGATTCATTTCTATTGAAATTACTTCATTATCTGTTTGATTCTAAACAATTACAGCTATACGTTAGACAATAAAAGCATTAAGCTGAATTTCTAGGGGAAAAATGTCTGGTTAAAGTTTTTTAAAATAAAGTTTAATAAAATTTTTCAGATAAATTCAATAATATAATATTTTATTCAGCCCTTTGTGAGAAAATCTGTAGAACTTGGTGGTTTGGATGTTGACTGTTAAAACAGAAGAAGGCCATTGAGGACATTTTAGTCTGACATGAAGGTATTCCTTCCTTTTCAACACAAGCATGACTGAAGCCAATCAACTCTTCCTCTTTTACTTCAGTTTAATCTGTATTTTGAAAGTAAACATGAAGACATTGGATTTATTCAGCATCCAAAGATTCAGAATAGATTCCAAAAGCTTCAGTTCCTGATAAACAGCAGTTAAAAAGGGCCTCCAACCAAGCAATCCGCTGTGTACAACACTAAAGCCAAAAGCAGCCCAACATCCAGCTGTTTTCAGCTAAATGAAAATAACCTTACATCAATAATGCAGTAATTGTGGCGTGCTTAAGCCAGCAATAAGGTCCTCTAAACACTGCATTAAAACCTAATTGGCTTAGGCTTACAAGATGAGTGCTTACTGGTGCAGACAGCAACAGCAGGACAGCTAGCTAATAACGACAGGCAGGAGGAGAGCAGCTTGACATTTAAACAGGAGGAGAGAAACATTTATGGAAGTGACAAAAGTTGCTAAGCAGGATATTTCAGTGATTTGAGTTTACATTCTAGGCCATAAAAAGTGTTTCTGAAGCAGCGATAATCACCTGTCCTTCCAGCAGGTCTCTCTGCAGACCAGAGCGCTCCTGCTCTGTGCTGTTGGTCCTGCGGATGGAGAGGCTGTGAGACTTCCTCTTCTGCTTGGCCTGGCGGGCGGCGCCACTGCTCCCACTCTCCACTGGCATGGCTTCCTCCGACGCTGATGTTTACCGGCCTGCAGGAGCACAGAAAGGCTGACCCATTTTAGAGTCAGGGGGAAAACAGGGCAGACCGAACAGTGGTGGTAGGATTTGACAGCTTGGCTGGCGTGAACGTGTTAAATGACTAAATGAATGAAGGTGAAAGCAGCATTAAAAAGCCTGCCACGCCTGAGAAGGAAGAATACAGTAAAAGTAAATGAATTTCTGATTTAGACACAGAAAAATTACTGTGCAAAATTATAACCTGACCAAAGCAACACAAAGACTAGAGAAATTATTTACACAAAAATATCTTCTGATGCAGTTTTTAATGTCATTTCAGACAACAACTCAAACTTTTGCTCCTCAAACCAAACTGCTGGTGCAAAAAGTGTTAGGAAAATTTTGCAATTGATTCCTTACTAAGCCTTTTATCTTTATAATTAGGCCACCTATCTCCTTTCCCCTTCTCAGTCACTAAACCTTAAACCAGATATGGACGTCTAATACACTAATACAAATAAACATAAAATTATGAATACATTTTCTCATTTTGGCTGACTATGGGCCCCTGGCTTTAACTGGGAGTCAACCAAACTCAGCATCACACCTGAGATTGTTGATTTTCAGCAAGTAAATGAAACAAGTCAAAAGGTTCAACCTCATTATCCTAAGCTGGTTTCTTGGATATAAAATAAAACTGACTATAATCCAACAACTTTCAGACCTCAGTCTAATAAGAGTTTCTTTGTCTTTTAGTAAAATAAGAGATTCCCATCGAGAATGTCTGATGTTTTTAGACCCCAGGAGTGTTTCCCAGATCTTGCTGCAACATGCCACAATAAGATAGAACCATTCTGAGGTGTACCTAATAAAATAGATTAATAATGATTAATTGATTATTGAAATAATTGTCAACTAATTTAGTAATTGATTAATCGTTAACTGGAGTATAGAGACTAAAACATGCCTGTAGCTGACAGAGCATCCAACTTAGAACAGTAAGTATACCAAAATCGTTAAAAAAAAAATGGAACATTTTGCATTTAAGATAAAAAACAACTTTTTCTTCTATCACTATGCTCTATCCAGAACTCCTCAAGTGGAAACTTTTTAGTTTCACCTGGTTTAATTTAATAAAAAGTCTTCTTTAAGGAACCTTTTGCTATCCCATAATTAATCGAAAAAAATTGTCGACAGATTAATCAATTTGCAAAATAGTAGTTTTTTGCAGCCCTGGTATACATATCTAGCTGTGCATTAGGACATATCTGACCTTATAGTGCTGCTTGGCTTAATTTGCACAGCATGTGTTGTGAATTAGCACCTTATAAATCAATGACTCCAAACGGTCTGGATTCTGTGCCAAAGAAAAGTCGAGGAGCTGGGTCACTCAGGACGAGCCCGCTCCGCTTGGTTGCATCCTTCTGGAGCTTTTCCAGCCACATCCCAAACAGGGATGGCCTCATAACAGAACCACAGCTCAAAGGATGGACCTTATGTCATGAAAACACAATGGGATCCCACAGAACAAGCCAGAGAACATCAGTGGGGTGTTCCCATAATAAACATAACTATTACTTTAAATGAATGAATATTCAACACAGTTCATCTTACATCCTATAATAATCCATATAATTTAAATATATTTGCAAATTGGTTGTATATTTACAGTTTAACCAATGAAGATTCCTTACCTCTTAAAGTTAAAACTGATCATTTAAACTACATATTTTAACAGAGGATATAAACACTAACACCCCCCGCCTTATTTCAACATTTTTATAAACAAGAAACCAGCTTTTTAGTGTAAGCTGTTTACTTTTTAGCACAAATGCATAGGATAAGCTAAATGTTTATTATTTTTAACTGAAGATCGGACTACACGCCCTTTACTGTTCTGCTTTTCTACCCAACATCAGTTCATCTGGATTTGAATATGAAGGAAAGGGGAAAATAAGCTAAATCCAGCTCGGCGGATGCTCTGTATTTGTATTCTGTTTTGTATTAACAGAAGGTGTGAGGGCAGTCACAGAAGAAAACCATCTTTTCTGCTCTCTAGTCAGTGACAGCCCAGCAGACACTGCCCCCCTCTACTCCTGTAGAATAAAACACCTTTGTCTGGTTTCCCTACAGACTAGTTGGTTCTTTTTGTGCAAATATGTAAACAGGAACACCGTGTCAACATTGTAAATGATATAAATTACCTCGCTTTAAAACAGAAAAATAAAAATGTAAGAGCTGAAGTTAAAAACGGGAGACATTTGTCTGGACGAACAGGCTAAGTAAAGCTAACGTTATCCTCCGTTAGCTGCTAATAGGCTAACGGGAACAGACACTGAGTCAGAACACAGCAGCAAACTTACCTAAAAGTCTGCTAACGCTGCTTTTTGTTCCGGAGTGTTGTCTCTGATTTTGCTCCGTCTGTCATTGTTTTTAGTTATTTTTAAAGGTTGCTGCGCAGGCTTTTAGTTCAGGTCCGTATTGACAGCTGATGAGGACCGTTACAAGCGCGAGAGAAAAGATAGCGAAGCCACTTCAGGTCTGGAAATGTTCAAAATAAGAGCATGACGTTTAATTTTTAAAAAATATTCTGCAACATCGTGCATGTTGCAGTACGGAAAAGAATTAGGGCCACTGAAAAAGGCAAAAAGAGTTAACTTTTTTTTAACATTTTAATTCAGTATGAGAAAAAAAGTCAGAATTCTGACTTTAATGATTAAAAGAAGAGCTAGTTTCTAAAGCAGACATGCCTACAGCTTGATACTAACATGTTTGTTAGCTGTCAGAATTCAGTCAGAATTCAGGGATTACAGTCAGAATTCTGAGATTAAAATAAGAATTCTGAGAGAAAAGTCAGAACTCTCAGATTAAAGTCAAAATTCAGAGATTAGTTAGAATTCTTAAAGTCAAAATTCTGAGATTAAAGTCAGAATTCTGAAAAAAAAATGTCAGAAATCTCAGACTAATGTCAGAATTCTTAGATTAAAGTCAGAATTCTGAGATTAAATTAAAAATTCTGAGATTAAAGTCAGAATTCTGACTTTTTTCTCCATATTAAACTGAAACAATTTTTAAAAATCAGTTAACTTTTTTTATTTTTTCAGTGGCCCTAATCCTCTTCTGTATAAGTCAGTACTTATATTTAGTAAGAAAATAATAACCATGCTAAGTCCTAACCGTCATATTTCTGAAATCAAGCCAAACAGTCTGTCGGTCCAAGCTTAAAATACAAACTGAAAATTCATGATTCAATCATTTTAAATAAAAAAATGTAAGTATAATATAGAAGCCAAAAGTTTCAGGTCAAAACTAACTGTAGCTTACATTTTTTATCAGTCATTTAGTAAATCTCTCTTCAGGAAGCAGACATTAGATTCTATATATAAATTGAAATAGTCAACCTGTATAGCAAGACAAAAATCTTGCACACAATTTAAACCTTTTAATTAGGGTTTTTTTTTTTCAATACTATTGAGAAAGTTTACATTAAGTTTTATACCTTTGATCCAAAAAATATAAAGTGCGGACAAGTATTATCATTTAAGAGGGATATGCCTGAAGACATGAGAGAAGAGCTGTTGAAGCTCAAACATTAAGAGGAAAAGATCGGCAATCATAAGAAAAGTTTCATATCAAGACAGCAGCATATGCAGCCAGGTAGTGGGCCATGGGTGAGGTGTGTGGTTAGAGTAAAACTGGTTCAAATGGAGGCCGGGTTCCATTGGGAATCACTTTATAGAGGTTTTGAAATTGATGTGTGCAGAAGTATGGAACGTAGTTGAAGTTTACCGTAATCAATCTATACACACTTGGGTTAATGGGTTTGTTTATTTGGCTTCCTTGTTAGAGTATTTAACAAGAGAAGACTACAGAAAACATCGACATCACTTTATCCAAAGAACAGCGAGCACGCTCTGATACACACACACACCGACACACACACACACACAAGCTGCAAGTCATGAAAGTATTTTTAGAGAATCCGTCATTACAACACTGACACCATTATTTTATAACTGTGGGTCTCTGCTTCTCTGTCTTAAAACGACGGCATAAAAAGACATTCCTGTCTTTTCAAACTAATAATATAGTCAGTTTGTTGATTTCAGTCCAGAAATATTTGATTTTATCTGCGATCGTTGGGGCCTGACTTCCTCTTCCCGGACAGCAGGTGTTTGGGTTTGAGGTCAAACACGTGTCTGTCTGACTCTCCCTTCCTGGCCTGGCGGTTCATGTCTCTCTGGGAGTTCTTCATCATCTTTTTCGCCTTTTTCACCATCTTCAAAAAAAAAAAAACATGTTAATTTCCATCTTTAAAACACTGCGCCTGAACTACTTTGTACTCCTTAACTGAAATGCAAAACATAAGATGAATATAGTCGCACACCTTTCCATCACGTAAACCAGACTGGTCTCGCGGGGGGCGGGATGCGCTCTGGCTGCGGGTTTTGGAGGTTGGTGGCGCCGAAGCTTCACGTTTGCGTTTCCTGGTGAGGCTGCGGGAGCGTCTGGCCTGCAGAGCGTAGTGACTCTGAAAGAATAATCACCAAAAACACTCAAAATGATTCAATTTCATCATCATGCACAATATTCTTCTAAATGAAATTCAACTGTTTTAAAGAAAAATCTATTTTAAATTTGCATTAAAAAGCAGGAAACACTCATCAGTTCTTAGTTCAACCAAAGAGGGTTAATAATTTATCAGCAGACCTAAAGATTTCTTATAAATTGTTAACATATTTTTTAAACATTTTTTAAAAGTAAAGTAACTGGAAACCTACGTCGTTCTTGTCGCTCATATCCAGACCGAGGTTACTCATCTCCGTCTCTAGCTTCTTCTTTTCAACCTTCCCAAAAAATAAAAAAGTAGTATTAGATGAAATCAATATGTTTAGAGAGACATCAAGCGTCACTTCCTGGATAGTCGTTACCATGGAGATTCTCCTCTCACCTTGGTGGCGGTCCTGGGCATCCGAGGTCCATGAACGTCCTTTTCCTTTGACTCCAGAACCAAGAGCTGCTTCTTCTCCCGGATCTGCTTGGCCAGGGTGCGGATCTCCAGCATCTCCTCGTCTTCGCTCTCCTCGTCCGATTCGTACTCTCCAGCTCGCTCCTTCAGCTCCTCCTCTTTCTCCAGCTCCTCCAGTTTCTGTCAGGAAAAAAAGAGAACGTTGTAAAACTTAGACAGTCTTATTCGTTTCCAAGTTTGAGTCTAGAAAGGCTTTCAAAGCCAAGATCCAAAGCCTAAGAAACAACAAAACCTAAAATAATAAAACATTTTAAAAAAGAGGTAAAAATGTGAAGTTTTGCTGTTGCTTCCAAAACATTTCTGTTTAGTGTGACTGATGCAGGTTTGATGCCAAATGTTTGGACATCCCTCTAACAGATCCCCAATATATCCTACCACTTTTTTGGGGTTAGTTATCTAAGCTGACGTTTTATTCCCTCAACAAACATGGTAAGTAAAAAAAAAATACTGTTACAGAAGTCCCAGTAAAATAAATAAATAAAAACTTAAAAACATTTATCAATGAATCAAGCAAAACATTAAAGGATGGCAAATGGAGGGAGCAGCAACCAATGCACTTCTCATCATATCAATGCATGTATGAGCTAATGCCGATATATCTGCTTAGTATTCCAAGCAGAAACTCAAGGATGAAATAAAATGATTATTTAGAAAGAGGAACTTGAAAGATGACAAACTCCTGTAACGTTTCCCTGGTTGAAAACGGACAGACTCACCCTCATGATGTCTGGGTCGATGTAATCTGCAATGTTGTGGCCCTCCCACACCTCGGGTATCTTATCCTGCTTCTCATCCTCGTTCATCAGATCCCAGTATTCTATGAACAAATAATCAGCATAACATAAGAAAAATAAATAAGCAGCTTCCATCTACGAGATCCCAGAATGTTTAAGGAAGTTTTCTTACTCTGGAGGTCCAGAATGTAATCATCACCGAGCTCCATCTCCAGGTCTCTCTCCTGGAAGATTAAACATGAAAAAACTTTACTATTAAATCTGCTTCTTAATCCCAACATTTACATTGTATTTCAGTTCCTCCTAATTATTTGTTATTAAAAGGCTGTGTAATAAAGATAACATTTATTTGAAACCATGTTGATAATAAAACCAAGGTTTCTTAGTGAATTATTTAAATATTTAAATTACAATTTGTAAACAATGTACATTATAAAAACCATAAAAAGCTCAGACTAAAATTCTCGCCAAGATATAAAAACCTATTTTAAAAACTCCTGTTTGCTTCAGAGTACAGTATATAAGTCTCCATTAGTGCTGCAGGTTTTAATTGATCTAAAGTTTATTAATCTTATTTATTGACTTAGGACTCATCTATAGCAAGCCATTGGGAAAAAAAAAACATATCTTAATATATCATATTTACCATTTTTATCATGCTAGCTATATTAAATGATAACTGAAATGAAAAAAATGGTTTACACATTATTAAACTTGACATATTTGGAGGATATAATAAAACTGTAACAACTGAATAAAAGAAAACTTTAACATAATTTGCAATAGGCTTTCATTTAAAGACAGGATGTCACCGTTACATGCTGTCAGACCATTTACCGTTTCATTTTAATAAAGTGGAGGGTAAATGGGATTTAATATAATCCAGTATTAACTGCTGCATGTGACAGGCTGTTAAATAGGTGATAACATTCACCATTATTGCTACTAAACTTTGTAAATAATCCCAGACTCCACAGACTGCTGCTCCAGCATTACCACTCTTGCAAATACTAATGAGAACCAGCTTAAGAAGGAACAGTGCCCTCCAGTGGACGACACCAACAATACTGCACTGAAAGAAGTTATTTCTAAGCAGATGAAGTCAATTAATCAGATTGAACCAATTTGTTTCTAATAAACAATTCATTAAAAGTCATTTAGTTGTTAACAGCGTTAAAGTAAGAAGGGGGAATTGTCACACTTAAAGGCTACATACCAGTTTCCGTTTAGGAGCATCCACCTCCATTGCTTTCTTTCGGTTCAGCGCTCCCTCTGGGATGAACGGAGGTCTGTCCTGGAGATCAAACAGAGCGCAGCTTTAACATGCAGATCTACCAAGCTAAACTCCTCCTGGTTGGCTTTAACCCACCTTTTCGTCCCTCTTGGCAGGCATGGCCAGGTGCAGCCTGTTCAGGACATCATGGACCTTCTTGCCCTTTATCTTGGTGTTGACACGGTGAGCTAGAAGTTGATCACAGGCCTGAGGAGCACAGAGGTGTTAAAAAAACTCCCGTATTCCCCTCAGAGTCAGAATGAGTCCGTTACCAGATCTCACCTCGGTTTTCACCCTTATGACTCCCTCCTCTGTCAGCGTGCTCGTCTCGATAACGGGGATCCCCTCAGCCGAGAGGTCTGCAAGAATTTTCTGAGAGCAGAAAGATAAAAAAGCATCAGACAGGCTGGACAGCTCAGTGGATCCAGCAGCTTAGAGGGGCGCCCCTTCACCAACTCACCTGATTCTCCTCTGAGAGCTCACTGATCTTCTTC